ATGGAATGATTATGCTACTGGTAAAGTCAAATGTTTTTTTTAAAAATCTTTTTGCTATTAAGAAAATATCATATTAACTTTTGAAATATATTTGTTTTTTTTTTTGTTTCTATTTTATAGAAAAAGTTTGTACAATGGATATATTTAAAAGTTCAACTTGGATTCCAATTGTTGTTGGTATATGTCTTGCGGTATTAGTTATTGTTATACTTGTTGTATATCTCGTTCGTCGTCGACGTTATCGTAATGGATATCAAAGTGTTTAAATTTAACATTAAAAATACGTGACACTTTTTGATTTTATTTTATTTTTCTTTTTTTTTTCTTTTTTGCTACTGAAATCTTTTCATTTATCTCATTGTGTTTAGAAATCTGAAGGTCTTTTTCTTTTTTTGAGTCAATTGCACCTATGTTCTTTATGTACAAATCGACTAACTTCTTCGTTTGTTTTCTTTCTTTTCTTTTTCATTAGAAGTTCTACGCTTTTAAATCAAGATGTTTATAATGTTCAAAAAAGATTATTAGAAACTCATACTGACGCGTTATGTTTTCTTTTTCTTTTTCTTTTCCTTTTTTTCGTTCATTGAACAATAAACAAGCATTTTTCCTTATTTTTGTGAGATATTTTAAAAGTATGATGATTCAGAGATAGTCATGACAATTGTTTGAAAGAAAAGATAAATAGACGCATATGTTCTAATGACTACATTTACTATTTAACAAAGAAAAAAGGAAAGGAGTCATACATGTACGTTTGCCAGATAAAAAGAATGCAAGTAGATATACGAAGCATCTGACGTGTCTGGCAGACACATCAATAAATTCAAAGTCAAACTAAAAATAGAAATAGAAATAAAAATCAAATGTTTCTTTGTCAAGGAAAAAGAAAGAAAGAAATATGATTCGATATTTGCCGTGCATAGTGGAAAACTTAGTAAATCATTTTAATTATTGATTTTGTTATCGAAGGTCTTTAAATACAAATTAAACTATTGAATATTTTCATTCTATGAAATCAATACATCATACGAATGGACGAAAAAAAAAAAGAAAATGAATAAGTGTCGATAAGTTAAAGATAAAATATTCAATGTTAGTGAGAAAGGAAGAAGAATCCGTGAAGTTTATTGATGTTATTAACATATCTGCATACAATCAAAAGTCCGCTTTTATATTATCAATAATAACTATTTAATTCTTTGGTCGTTCTAGGTGAATGAAAGATAATGTAATTTATCGACTTCTTTACATGTCATTATATTTTTTCCAAAATACAAATATCTCGTACGAAAAAATCTTGTCAGATGTCAAATCGCTTTTCGACCAAGACGATGTTCATTTGACGAGTAATAGAAAAGTCTAGAATGGTTTGGTTTACCGGATTTTCGTTCTTGATATATCGAAATTTTACTAGACTTTTTAACAAAAGCTGTGATCACGTGGAAAATCAACTTTTGAGTTTCGACTTCAAACTTTGCATGAACACAGTTTTTAATGAGATTAGTTGATTGTAAAAGTTTTAGCTTTTCTACTATTTCCGTTCTGGAGATGACCAAAATTTACTTTTACACATGAAAGAATTCCGAATATTGAATATCACAGGACAGGAGATACTTGAAAATTTACAACTTGTACAATCAACGAATCTTATTAAAAAATCTTGTTCATGCAAAGTTTGAAATCGAAACTCAAAAGTCGATTTTCCACGTGATCACAACTTTTGTTAAAAAAATCTAGTAAAATTTCGATATCTCCAGAGCAAACGTCCGAAAAATCAAACTATTCTAGATATTTCTACTGCTCATCAAATGAACATCGTCTTGGCCAAAAAGCAATTTGACACCTAGAGATGCTTCCTCATGAGTTTTGTGTAGAGTACAAAAGTATGACCGAATAGGCTGTTTAACTCTTGATCAAAGTATAATAGGACAATTTGGTTGTTTTTTTTCTTTTTGTGTTCTGAGCTCAAATTTCTTTGAGAAGAAGCAATTTGGGGTTTATCGTTTCGTAAAGATGGTTAAGATGTCGGACGTTCGATTGTTAAAGATAAAATTTATGTACAAGAAATGATGAGTCCTCGTTGAATAAACTAATGAATGACTATATTGTTATTCGTAAAAGATTCATTTTTTGTTCCGAGGTGAAAAAATAAGAATTCAAATACAGTGTGTTAAAATAAAAACAATCACAAAGCATCAATAGTTGCTAGAATTTGAAATGAGAAGAAGTTTTACATCAGGATTGTTAGCTCCAAGATACAACCCATCAAAGGTAGCGTCACTTTCAATATATTGTATCCTGAGCTGTCAACCCTGCTTTGTATTTTAATTTTGATATAAACAATTATGGTATGAGTGTGAACGTGGATGAAGAGAAGATTCCAAATCCACAGCCACCAGCACACACACACACACGCACAAACGCCACTCAGAACGACACAAGTAAACTAGACTTTTTCAAAAAGAGCTCAGTTCCTGGTAGGGATGTGCGGTGTCAGTGATAAAACCGAAAAAACTGACACTGACGTCACTGGAACACCGATGACCAGTATATCACGGATCACTGATGCGCTGACATCCTCGGCGTCACTGGTGACTCAAGCACACTGACTCTACTGATCTCTCGTAATTAGTTGTTATATAGTATTGCAAGATATGTGCTTGAAATAAACACACAACAATCATAAACTAGATATGCGTGTTCTTTCACGAGGAGTAATGGCTTTATTTTTAGAAACGTGAAGAAGAATAATATATCTTCGTCGAAGAATTAGATAATATGTTATACGTGAAAATCTTCGACAAAAAGAAACCACATAAATGAATGGATATTGGAGAAAGACAATTTTATGAAAATAAAAGTAAATGCGTCTTTAAAGATCAAGATTAAATAAAATGAAAATGTGGGATAGAATAAAACACATATTAAAGAGAATCAAATATAGATAGTAGTAAACAAAAATTATAATATTATCTATGGTGTGGGTCATCATTTACCTAACGGCTATGACAATATTAACACGATTGAGTTTAGTTTAACTAATGAAAATATCAAATGAATGAATAACTGGGCATATTCCACCAGCATTGCTAAATTGACAGAGTAGAATTTCATAAAGGAAATACTCCATCAATACTGTGATTAGATGTTAGTTATACAGAACATTTTATATTCTGCTGAAGGCAGCTATCAATCGCTGTGAAGACCCATGAAGGGTGCCTGTCACGGTCTGTGATGGACCCGTTCCTGTCTGTCACAGTCTGTGATGGGTCCAGACCGTGTCTGTGACGGCGGTGGGTGTGGATGATGACGCTCTTTTCATTCACACCCACCCACACCCCACACCCACACCCTCATAAAATTCTAACTTATAGAAAAAATTTGTCGTATTTTCATCGATAAGTGGCATGACAGAGATTAAGAAACATTCAGAGTTATAACTAAAAAGAAGAATTTATCAGAACTTGAAACAAGTTGACATTACTGTGTTGAAAATGATAAAAAAGGACTTTTGAACAGAATTAGGGAAAATCAATGATAAAGAACTATTTTCAATTATTTGACTATATGATTTCTTATGTTCGTCATGCTCATGTTTCATGTAACAAACTTAAAAAACAAACTTGAGCAGAGACGGAGGGTGAGGGTATGGATCTTACTTTCGCCTACACCCATACTCGTTCAAAAAGATAAAAATCTTCTAGACTTTGGCTGAAAGAGGCTCAATAATTAGAATCATCCTACCTGCACTGCGAATGAAGTTTTGGCTCCTGCTTATCTTTATTTGGAATTGAAAGCTTTTGATCTCTTCAGATCAGCAATGCACAGAAATTATGCCATATGAACATGCTTTAGTCGATCGGTCGACAGTGTTGGCTTTTCCCTAGTGAGAGAGATGAACTGCTTTTTGCTAATGAATGAACAGCTCTTTTTCGTTGATCTGGACAGAGAAGTAGATTAGGCTAACGGTATCATTGCTCGTTTCAAAGCCATCCATGCCTCGACATGTCTGATTTCGGACGTTGCTGATCAATTGAGATATTTTTTCTTCTTCTTTCTCATCGTTTGATTCTTCGCTGACTATTAATCGAGCGTTTTCTCCGTTCTTCTTTTTTCCATTACTTTCTGATTCATTTTCTTCTTCAATCCGACCAGAACAATCCACACTTCTCGATTGTTCGAGTGGTTCTCGAATATGCCTATAAAGTTTGTCAATATCCACGAGTTTACATTTACGCAATATATGACGCAACTCTGGGAAAGACATGAGTAGATGCGAGACATTTGAGTACATGCATATAACACAAAGGGTTCCGTGAGCGCAATGGAGAGCGAAAAGTTCTGCTTGTAAAGAATCAGCTATACGCGGTGCTCTATTGCTGATAATGACGAGGCAGTACCAGGATTTTGTCAGCTACATTTTGACAGTGGATGGGTAAAAAGAAAGAAGAATATATACATCCACCCATTTTCAAAGACAAGCACAGTTGAGTTTGATATTAGCATATATTCAGCCTTCAAATGCTCCTTTAAATAGACTTTCAGTACAATTCATACGGGACTGATGTATGAAACCTACGATAGAATATTTAATTCATTTCTTTTCGATATATTCCATTGATTTTCTTGGAAGAAGAACTTGCTGCTCTCGATGGCTCGTATCACGACAAGAACAAAGTATATTGATGACAGTGAAGATTCTGATTCGACGATTTACTTACTGAAATACCAGTATCTTTGATTCTCAATTGGAAACATTTCTACCTTTGTCAAAATCATCCAGATTTACAAATTGTTCTTAAGTTACTTGCAAATTTCAACATTTTTTCCTTACTTCATTGAATCATCTGAAGATTGGATTGATCAAGCGGCACTATTTTTATTAAGTTTTCGAATATTTGAAATAAGCTATTCTTAATTACAATATTAAGCAATCGAAATATTTTTGTATATTCCCTGTGTTATCGTACTATAAAACTACTATAAATGAATACGCTCTACTACCAAACACTACACTTGTCTTTCCGACTGTTTCCTTGACCTGGTGTACAGCCAAATGCTCGATCGAATTCATCGAAATTTGATGTTGGGCCAATCACTCTGAACATCACAACAAATTCAATCATCATCAAATTAACCATGGGAAAAAAATACCTGAATTGATCCAATGAATGAACATCTATTCGAAGACGATTAACTGCATAGGCATTCGTCATCTTAATACACCAGTTATAAGCATAATTGATAAAGAACAATTGTTCCGAAGAATATTTCTGAAGACCAGGTAATCTTTTGTCAACATTCTTATTGTTTGCTGCCCATTTTTGATAGGCCTGAAACAAAATAATATTTTCTCAAATTATTACATTTAGTATTACATAGACAAATGACATATTTATCAAACAATCTCAAAAACGTTGCATGATAGATTATAGCATGCTTGCTAATAACTCAAATATACTTACGAAAAATGCACCTCTAAGACCACCATTGTCAGCAATATCTTCGCCTTGTGTTAGATTTCCATCTGCCTAATGAATGTTAAAATAAAATTAATTTATTCAATTCAACAAACTTAAGATGAAAACCTAACTTGCATATCGATCTGTGTCACTGTATAGTTGCTGTACTGATTGATAATACATGTCTTGCGTTCGTTAAACTTTTTGATTGTTTCTTCTGTCCACCATGGAATGCGATTTCCATCTTTGTCGAATTGTCGGCCGGTATCATCGAACCCATGTGTAACTTCGTGTCCAATCACATACCCAATTCCTAAATTAGTACATGTGATAAAAGGATTCATACTGAGTTTTCCAATGAACATATAGTACAGTAAGTCAAATGTTTTTTAAACGAAACATTAGACAATTTTTTTTTCGTGGAAATGTGAAAATCGAAAAATATCAAGATTTTCCTCGCAACGAAATTTAGAAAAATCTTTACTTGATATTAACCATGTACAAAAGGATTTATTTTCTAATATAAATTTTTTTATCTTTTAGTCCAATTAATAATATTTCTTGCCTTATTTGAAACAAATTCTGTTTATGTTTTGATCTTCAAAATCTTTTCAATATTCACGTGAACAAATATAATACACTATGTTACACTATTATTTGTTTGTTTTTTAAATGCGTAAAAATTGTCAAATATTTGGTCGAGAAAATTTCAGTTCTACTGTAGTCCTATGAGTTCAAAATTTAATGCTTACCACCATAATTGAGATACCTAGTAGATAAACAGAATAGTTAAATCAATTACGAAACAATAAACAGAGAGAATAATTACTTGGGTGCATCCTTATTAAAGAAAGGTATTTGTAAAATACCAGCCGGAAAACCTGAAGTATAAAAGAAAACATATATTCGTATGTCGTATAAAGGTAATGTAGAAGATCAATGAACATACTGATTCGATTTGTTGATGGATCATAAAAGGCGTTTACAACACTGGGTGCAGAGTATTCATCCCAGTCTTTTTTGTCGACAGGTTTTCGCAGTAGTTGAAAATTTTCCTTGGCAAATATTTCAAGCAATTTGAGAATGTTTCTAATGTAGGATGAGTTGAAAGTGTACTATATTAAAAAATATGCAGTAGAGAAGAGAAGTTGACTTTTCTATTGAAAACGTTATAAGGATAGTTTCTCTAAGATTTCGAATGATTTTACAATCGTCATGAAGAAATCTTATACCACATTTATAATAATGCATAGCGGGATCAAAGCGGTAGAATCTCATATATACACTTCAACACTTATTACATTGCTTACCTCAGCATAATCTTCGTCGAGTTTTGTATTATTATTGCTGGCCAAATAGTCAGGATAACCGATATGCTGATCTATACTTCTGGCCTATATTCTCATGATTTCATTTTGATTATCATTTGTTTTCTAGATTTACCTTCTCAATGGCTTTTGTTTTTGATTCAACATCCATCCAAGTAGATCCTTGAAGCATTTCGATGAATGCATCTCGGATATTGTTGATCATTTCAAGAGACTTTAAAAATACCAAAATATCAATAAACACGATATACGTTTAAACAAACCTCATTGAAAGCATTTTCATCAAAATATTTTTTAATGTAGAGTTTCGAGACAGCAAAACCTAGGATACGATTGACAAAACTGCCACATCTTACTGTACGTGGTCGTTCGGTATTCGTACCACGAAAGATTCGATCAAATCGTTGTCTGATAATTCGAATATGTTGTGGCATATCCGAAGTTCGACTTAGTATGAAACGCCAAACTATATAATTTTGTATGGTTCGTGGTGAAGCTCGTTGAAGGATTAATGAAACATTATTCAAATACTCGATTTCACTAACGGCTATAATGTCTGTATCTTGTAAAGTCACATTGCCTAATAGATAGGAACGACGAACATAATCGGTGAAATCAAACTATATAAACATATGATAGCACAGAAAGGAAGATGAGAGAGAAAAAGAAAAATGAAACTGACTGTGGTGTTGAATGTTAATGAAAGATTGTTGAATGTAGTTCGAACAGTTTCATCATAGCGTGCTCGTTGTTCGTCATCTGTCCAATGATACTATGAAGAATAAGTAAATAGAAATTAGTGTATCGATGAGAAAAAAAAGATATTGATTACCTTTGATATATTCTTTTCAAATTCGAAAATATCATTGACATCGTGATCAATCATTGATGTGTCATTTCCTAATGCCATAGCCAACTCGCGTATTAGCTGTCGATAAGCAATCGTGATATTTGTTTCATTGGCATAGTATTGCTTTTGTCCTAGTGCAAGATCACTTTGTCCGATCTATAATGGTTAATAAGATCTGTATCCTTAGTAACATGAAAATATCATCACATTTCTATGAGTTAGATGCTAAATCAATTTTTTATGTACACTGAATGTGTGGCTAGTATTAACTATTCTCGTTTAGATTCCGGCTCACACCACGTATTCGATATTATTGACGGAAAAAAATTCTCTCCATGAGAATGTGATGTTGATGATTTATTTAGAGAACTTGAATATTCCACGACCAGAAGCTCGCTAACACTCAGTGCAGTTTGACTTCTTGTTAGGTTTTGAAATATTATGTGTTATACACTTTTCTGAAACACATATAAGCATTAAAGTTTTTTTTATGAGATTCCAATTGTGGTGATCAAAAACGACTGCTCAAATAGACTAATCAGTGCATTAATCGACTCGATTGCTGTTTGGATATCCCGGTAATTTTATGCCTACATCTATGTTGAGATCGGTCATTAGACGTACTTCAATGTTGTATACTGTCGAGTTTTCTTCACTGACTACTGTGTTTACTCGATAGATAATATTATAAGCATATTTTCGCAGTTTCAAAAAGAGATTTGACAAATCAAACGTTGAACTACTCCATGATGAACCTTGAAGTATGGGCCAACCACCCAATTCTGTATTGACCAATGAAAGAATAGGATCAACACCAGTAGCCTCTATGTCTGCTTCATCTATGCAGGATTTGTACAAGAGACGAGCATTAACAACGGCTTTAGGCTCGTTGGTATCGTTCACAGGCAGCGATGATAGAAGATCTATGACATCCACAAAGAAACAATGCTACATAGATCTCATTCATGCATACCTATAACGTTATAATACAATTGCGTTCGCAACAAATTGAAAGGACTCTGTGCACTGACTAGAACAAAAAAAGCAAAGAAAAATTTCAATCCATATGAACGAGAAGTTACTGCTAACCATCATCAGGTATTCTTGTATTTTTAATCCATGTTCCACAGGCAAAATGAAAAAAATCTTCGCATGGTTCGACTGTTTCATCGATACTTTCAATTAGGTAATTGGCTGGAAAGTAGACGATTACATTTCCTTGATTTGTTTTAGAAAACAATATATACCTGCTTTGACACAATAGGGAGTGAAACATACATCTTAATAGAATGAAATCATACAATTATCAGATTTCATTTTCAAAATAAGAAAAATACCATCTGTAGTCGTCGCTAATGGTAAAGTTCTGTTTTCTGTTGTTATTGTTTTCCTGGTTTTTTCGACACCATAAAGTGTAATGAACACAATTGTAGTAATGACAAATATTCCAACAAGAAGACCGAGCAGTTTGGTAGGTGTCATAAAGCGAGATGTACTATTCAGTAACTGACTATAACATAATAAATTTATCTTGTACTGCCATCAGACAGATAGTTAGAATATTTTTCTAGAAGGCCTGGCATGGTGAAAGTAGTTTCGATCGTATAAACTTTTTTTTTTTCTGCACTCACTTCAGGTGCTTTTTTTTATGAAGGACTCAGTTCGCCCAACAACTATATTCCGACACGTTCCTTTGTTTTATCTTTCTAACGATTATTTCTGCCATTAGCAGTACATCAGAATAAGAATAATAAATGTACATACCTTCTTGTTTCTGTCAAAATTGGAGTTATCACCTTCATGAGTCAAGACTGTTCACGTATGTCAACTTGTTTGAAAGGTTTCAACTAAAAATACGAAAAAGGTTAATAAATGTGTCTTAAGCCATCATAAGATACCGTTTCTCTGAAATATGGATGCAACCATTCCTGATTTTTGACACTAAAAATCGTTCACTTGCGGTACATAGAACCATCAATTTCGGCCAATTCTTCGAATGATACCGACTCAATTTTGATTGTTCTATCTGATGCCACTGTCGAATTCGACAAATAAAAGATGAAAGAATTGGTCGGAATTAGCTGAAAATCTTGAAGTTTTCGTCAATTTCTGACAATGGCATCCAATAGAACGATCAAAATTGAGTCGGTATCACTCGAAGAATTGATCGAAATTCACGGTTCCACGTACAGCAAATGAGCGATTTCAGTGCCAGAAATTAGGATTTGGTGCATCCCTACTCTGCAATGCCAAATTTCCCTTCAAACCAGTTTTTTTAAAATGGTTATTTACATTATTTTTGTGCATCTCTATAGCTTAGTGTTATTCATGTGAATAATCAAATATTACAATATAAAGAGCAATATCAAATGTTACAACATAAACAACAAAGTTAAATGTTACAAGATAGAGAACCCAATTAAATGTTACAACATAACCTATGTAAAAAACGATCAAATAATCAGATTAAAACAGATTTTTCCAACAATAATTACAAAAAATCGATTAAATGTGCCATTTTTACATTTAATTTAATGATATAATCAATTATAACAGACTTTGATATGCCATAATCAATTAAAATCGATTTCTCGCAGGAAAATCTTTTAAATCAATTAAAAAATCGACTCGATTTTAATAGATTTCAAGATTAATCTATAATAATCTATTACTTTTGGAATGATCAAAATAATCGATTAGAAATCTAATTAATTTTGATTGATTTTAATCAACTTCTGATGTAATTGCGCCATCTCAGCTAGGAACAATTTCTATAGAACTTTTGTTTTCGTTGTAATAATTTATTGTTTCTCAATTATAGATACTATTATTGATAATGATGGCTTAGTCCGTCGAAATAAGTATTAATAAACTCAATATTTAATTATTTTATTTAAAATCGCTGTCATCTTTTCATTTATTCTTAAAATATTGTGCTTAACAAAGACTCTGTTCATTATTAATATTTTGAAGTTAAGAAAGAAATATAATTTTCTATTCGTTTATAACAACATTAATTTAATCTCGTTGAATTATTAAAATGTCGATAATCGTTCATTTTCTAAATATTTTGCTCTTGCTTGAAAAATTTTCCATTTCATTTTTTCTTCTAAATCCATAAAACCATTCGATGCAAGAATACTTGAAATACTACATTGAGATAATTTATTTAGAATAACTTCACAAGCAATTCTATCATCAATAAGTAAAAATTCACGAAACCAGATACATAAAATATCAAGAATCGATGAAATTGATAAACGTATTCCATCATCTTGTTCAATAAATTCACCACCATTTGGATACATATTTATATATTCAAGTTTTGATAAATAAAGTAATATAAATGTTCGACATGCTGACGAAATAAAATTTAATTCAAAACGATGGGCTAGAATATGAAAAATACTTTTTTTAAATAGCTAACAATATTATACCTTGAATGTTTTTTCTAAGAAGAGAAGTAGGAGATTCCAGGATTCATTATAATTTCTTAGGATTCTTCCTTGAGTATGGCTCTAAGAGTTTATTTGGAGATTTTATCTGCGTAATAACAGTTTTTCATGTTGGTTTTTTTCTTTCATTCGTTAGTGACATGATTTCGAAAAAGAAACATACTCTTATCTCTGAATTCGGACTTTTCTTTGAGCTAATTTTTATCTAACTAGTTGTCCATAAAGAATGGACGTCTCAGTGTTTTGCGTATATTTCGATGATATTAAAACGTGAAGAAGCAATTTTTTTAAAGATACATCTTTTAATTATCTACAATCTTATGTATTTCAACTAATTCGAATCTGATTCGACGACGAAACAGATATCTTTAAAAACCATAACTTTCAAAAAACAAGTCTTTCTCAAGTTTTGTTCTACACGCTTTAACTCTCGAGCAAGTTTTTTCAGTTTCTCAATCGATGTGAACCAACAAACGACAAAAAATATCAAGGTAATGAAATAGTTTAAAAGTTTCACAGTTGAGTTATTTGTCTCTGAATAAACATTATCATCAATACACAAAAATGTATGCTAATGTGATTGCTATTCATATGTGAATCTGTGAGCATAATTTTATCCAAATTTCTAAAAATCTTCAGAAACTTAAGCAGGTACATATCGTGGCTGTGAAGTCGATACATTACAGAGTACTGAGCATTTAACGAGCATCTTTTGAAATTATTGAAAACTTTGACCAACTTGAACGAAGTCATAATGATAATTCCACATATGGATAGCAATAACATTAGCATACAATTTCGTGTATTAACAGTAATATTTATTCAGAGACAAATAAATCAACTTTGAAATTTTTAAAATACATTATTATTGATATGTTTTTATCGTTTATTGGTTGACACCCATTAAGAGACTAGAGAAAAAAAATTACTCAAGAGTTAAAGCATATAGAACAAAAATTGACAAAAAGTTTTTTTTGAAAGTTGTGAATTTTAGACATCTGTTTCATCGTCGAATCCTAATCGAATCAGTTGAAATATATAAGATTATAGATAATTAAAAAGTACATTTTTAAAAAAAATGTTGCTTCTTCACATTTTTTAATACTATAGAAATATATGTAAAATACTGAAAGATCCGTTCTTTATAGACCATCCGTTATATTGAGTTACTTTAGATATCTTACAAAACTCAATCGAATAGATCTTGGTTCCACCGAGTTATTATTGAAAAATTAACGTTAGCAATATGACACGAAAATGACAAATGTTTTCACTGTGTCCGTTTCGATTTACAAATTCTGCCGGTTTAAACAATGTCTCTAAAAACTAAATAGTACGTTTTGCGAAGGACTCTTCGGGCTCCAAAATCTCTATGTGAGGCTTCTCCTAGACATGCTTAGATGTTTCAAAAAATTGATTTTATTTGTGTTTAGCAATCTGAATGAGTATGAAATTAGAAACGAAAAATCCTTCGTGAGGATCGCAAGATGATATCAGCATCAAAAGTGTCATTCTGGGATAAGGGGATCTTCGAAAAACCATTTTTTTGGAAGTATTTTTTTGAACTCTGATCTTGCTGAAAATTTCATCATAGATATAGTTCATCGTGTAGAGCTTATTCTGAAATTCTTGAACTTCTCCGTCATAAGGTTAAAAATTTATTTGCTAATTACATTGTAGTTAATTAACTAGTTCAGTTTCTTCTAATGAAGAAATTATAAAAAAAACATACTATTGAACATGTTCTATTCATAGTTGACGTACGGTACTAGATTTTCCTGTAATAGAAATACATCAAACGAGGAAATCTTTCTAACTCGAATATTTCTTTTGACTTAAAAATCAGTGAACAATAGATTATCGACTATACTGATTCTAAATATGAGCATGAAATTTGTTGATAGGCCTTACAAGATCTACTTTTGTGGAACATTAGTTTTCTTGAGCGAAAACCTCTGTTCACCAATATAATTTTCTGATCTATCTCAATTATAGAGGGCATCGAGTTGGTATAAAAAACCTACTTTATGACATTTTGAAGTGCTAAATGAGACGCAGAGAAATGAGTTTTATTTTTTCGCTAGATCCTTACTAATGTCTTGCAACCGGATTGGTACCCGAATCCGACCCTGCAATATATAAGGTCTCGACATTTCAAAATATTTTCACTTTTTTCGGACTGCTAATTTATATAAAAGCATAGGAATGAAAATCTGAGCGATTTATTGTATTTGAGAATAGGTCATAGAAGTAGAAAGCGATTTTATTTTATTAGAAAAATTCATTTTTAACGAAAACTCATCTATAGATAATGATAAACAATATGACGAAATAACTCAAGACATGACGAGGAAAATGAATTATCAAAAAAGAAAAAATGAACATGTATTCTCGTGATGGAAAAAATCACTCGTGTATGTATTCACAATTATGGCATTTGGCACTAACATTATGTTCCATTCCAGCGTCATTAGCATCAAGCAAATGTATGCTTAATGAAATTAATCGGATTTTACAAGCAAAAAGACACCAAATGAATCTTGAATCACTAGCTTTTTTTTAATGAAATTTGAGAAGATCTCATTTCTTTTTGTTACTGTTTATGGAAGAAACTAAATGATATATTTTTTCATATAAAATAAAAGTTTGAAAATCATACTGCAACTGTAAAAGTATCTGTCGAATGTCGATTAAGTCCGGTCTGATGCCGAGTATAAAAAAGTACCAGTCTGGGTTCGATTGCGAAAAGTCATACCCATGCAAGATACTAATTCCTTACTGAAATTGAGTCTGTGGTTTTGTCTTACTTTGCTACGAGTAGGGGTTAAACTGACATATTCTCACGTAGGTTTTTGCTATTTGCGAAGTCAATACGACAAGTTTTCACTCTAATAACCATATCGGAGGAGTCCTAGATCAACACAGTCGATGATCTATTGTCCACTGATTTTGAAACCAAAAGCAATTTTCAAGTTGAGAAGACTCTAGCGTAAGAACTTATTACCAAGAATGAGTAATATCGTCACATTATCATTATTAATTGTACATCGAAATTGTGGATATAAAAATTGAAGTAATTCAATCATTTCATTAGGTGATACATCAAGAATTTCAATTGAATCAATATTTTCATCTTGAAAATACGAGTGAAAAATTTTTGATCCAGCAGCTAATACACTTTTATCAACATATAATTCTTTATCTAAATAATAATGTTTTATATAAATAAATTTTATATCTAAATCTATGTAAAATACCTTGAACAACAAGTATTAAATCACTAAAAGGATGTGATTGAAAGAAAAATTCTTCAGCTGAATGTTTTATCATATGAATATTCGTATCAATAGTTTTCATTCGTTTTAATGATTGATTTGAATCCATTTGTTTACTTTTATTTTCAATGAAAATTGATTTTTTACAATCACCATCAACATTAAATCCAGATAAAATTTCTGAAGAAATCATTGATAGAAGAACAAAAGAATGAGTAAAGCGCCAAAAGCTAATATTCTTTTTTTTTTTGTTTTATTTTTTTTGTATGATTTTTTAAAAATAAACATGTACATGAATCGACGATTATTATCTTTATGGATTCATGTTATCATTAATTCAAGTTATGAAGACGATTGCTACATTTTTCAATAACTATCGTATCAATCGAAATGTTTATAATATTAATACAAATACAACAATAGATCGAATTGAATGTGAACGAAATGTATGCGAAAAAGAATTACATAGATTAAAATATGGACTTGAGAATTTATTAAAAAATAAAGCTCATAAAAATTTTCAAATACGAAAGACAAATTGGATAGATCAATGTTGGTCATGTTGTCGTCGATGTACTCGTAATAGAAATCATAGTAATACATATATGAATAAGCATCGCGATGGTTATCATTCTACAAGCCAATCTTCATTCTTTAGGTCCGATGCTCATTATGATGATATAACGAATAATCGAATAGTTTTTAGATAAGTTCCCGTTAGAAATTTTACTTCAGTTTTTATTTGAGAGTAGCAAAATAATCTCTGAACAATTCAAAAAATTAATTTGAGCGGAAAATTTTTGTATTTTTACTATTGCGATTTGAAACTAAAATTTGGAATCTTTATTTATATGTCAACTTATAGATCAAAAGCTACCTTACAAAATGCATTCTATTTTTCCATAAGGCACCTCAATATTCGTCTTTTTGTGAATACTCATTTTTTGAAAAACCACCCACTGTATTACATTGAAAGGAGTTCTTAAAAAAATGCTTGGGTAAAAGCTACAGTTTAGTTCAACATAATATTTTGTAGAGACGTGTTCATTCTACAAACCGATCGGTTTCGACATTTTCTTAGCATATGCAAAAAAGTTACATAAAAATCTATTGACTCACCATTAAAAATAATTTTTCATGTCTTTCAAAAAAGCTGTCATTACCCTTGAACAAAATTTCTAGGCGTATATTCGAAGCGAGCATAAACTCATCTAAAATACTTTCTCACGAGTCAAAAGTGAGAAAATATTTTATCTAAAAACTTTGCAATCATTTGTTTTATGTTAATAAACTATTGGTATATTTTTGTTTTTAGTGATTCATTTGTTTCTAAGTCTTCAGTACCTTACAATGGTTGGAAGAAATATGATTTAAAACGAAAAATTGCAAATTTTCTAACAAGCAAAATTGCTACTATTGATCCAACTTGTAAATCGATACTTTTCAAAATTCTTGAAGGAAAAATATTAGATTGTCTTTCTAATGGTCAAAAGTAATCTTTTGTTTTTTTTTTTTTATTAAAGTCAAAATATTCTTTCGTTGAATTATCCAGAGTTGATCAAAATCGATCAGATTCTATTAGTATTACGTCATTATCAACAAGCTATGAATCACCGTCTAATTCTTCTATATTAACTGATAATGAATTTCGTTCTCCTCACATCGTTCTATCCCAACCATCAACTACAGACACAATATCAACCTTAAAATCAAGTTCAATATCTGCATTTCCTTATGGAACGTCAACATCAAATGTAGATCATACTCTAACAAGGCTAACCTCTAAAAATGGTAAAAATTATTCTTTAATCTTCTCGTACCACTCTAGGACAGTTGCTCGCGAGGATGTAGATCTTCTCCTAACCGTACTCACATACTTCCCAATCATCCATGACATGCATCTTTTCTGGAATATTCACTTTTCGGATCAATTGCAAATGAATAGCCATTGTATATTAATAAAGATGCTTTCTTAGAGATGTTTGATATAGTAACTGACATGATTTCTGTTTTTCTGAAGTCATTCTATTAGTCTGTGCGACTTATATACACATGTTAGCATCCAAACTGATATGACATGCAATCTCGGATTGGACGAGGTGAATATCAAATCCGAGATTGGATGTAATCTCAGTTTGGATACTAAATTATATATATACATGCTTCGTTGAATATAACTTGTCGTTATATTAGAAGAATTATATCAATCAAGATTATGATGAAGATAATTCTCTCACAAGAGAAGCTGCCATAACTCAGTGGTTGTGCTGTTCAACACGTGTCTACAAGGCGCTGTGTTCAAATTTCAGTACCACCAGCCCTGAAATGATCCTGAACAAGTCACTAACAACTGTTTGTCTCAGATCACTTGACTGATAGCATGCTGACTACATGGTGACACACATCTGCTCTCTGTAGTTAGTTAGTGTGTATGACGAGCTCAAGCAATTGAACGCAAGAACTCTGCATCGAACTGACCTCCTCTCTACAAATAGAGCTAGTATTAGTTGTAGAGGAGATATCGGAATACTGAGTGTATCGCAAGGTACCTAAGAGGCAGGAATATTGTTTCTTCCTTTCTCACAAGAAATTTATTCGTTTTATCATTGTATTTCATTATTTTTTCTGAAACTCATATAAAGTTTGTATAGCAAGCAACTGTCCGTTTGCACCCTATAGGTCTACGTTTTTTTTTTTATATAGATATATCGAAAGCCAATGATTATGAAAAATCTACATTGTGAGTCAATCAAATAATAGATCATTATCATAAGCATTTATTTATCAATTTTTTTTTGTTTTATAGAAGTGTTCCTGTAGCTAAAACATTACGATCAAGTGATATTTTATTAGATATTTTAATTGATTATGGTTATATATATATTTTTTTGTTTCTAGGAAAATCAAAGAAAAGAAAACACTCATCTTTAGAAAACAAGCGAACATAGAAATTGATTAACATTAAAAATCAGAAAAAGTCAAACAACAAAATTAAATAAATGATAGACATTATAAAATCTTATTTATCAAAAGATATTATCGAAACTTTTCATTCTGTTATTCTTATTCACAGTGAAAAAAAAAATGTTTTTTTTTTAACAACAAATAATAAGTAATTCAGTTTTCAATTTTTTTTTTCTTCATCATATTTCCTGCTGTGTATATAGAGATGAATGAAACAAATGTTTGTACACATATGTTTTCTTTTTATTGATTAGTCGTCAAGTAAAAAACTATGCAGAATACAGAGAAGTAAGTCATTACATCTGAGAATGATTTCAAAATTTAAATGACTCGTAGAAATTATTAATGATCGATTATAATCTAAAACGATTATTTAGTTATAGTTCTGTATTAATTTTAAAGAATTCTATTCTGAAGGTTCAATTTAAAGATAATTTCATTAAAAAATCGAACAAGTTAAGAGTGATATCTCTTGACAATCTACTGCTTTCAATAGAGTTAGAAGAACATACGGATCTGTATAAAATTGTATCAAAGCCTTACATCGGACTCCGACTTCGGCGAAGTCAAAACGACCATCAAGAATTTTTTTTTGAATCAATATCGAAGTTACATCAATAAAAAAAACTAAATATTTTTACTCTTACATAGTGAAAACTTTATTTTTAATATGTTTGACCAATGATCGAAAATACATGAGATACATAAGCTTGAAGGAAAAAAAAGCACCAGAGAGACATTCTCATTAACAAGTAACACAAAAAGAAATATATACGTCAATCAACAAAAAAAAATTCTCGGAGTCAGAGCTGCAGGGAAGAAAATTTTTCATATCAAAAAGTTTGACTTAACAAGGTTCTAAATTGAATGAAGAATTTAGTAACTCATTATAATCATAAAAGAGATTAATTTTGAACTGAATAGTTTGAATTAATAATTTATAAAAATTACTTTTTTGCATTTTCTGTATGAATTACTATCCAAATAATGAGTCACTCATAATAAATGGCTACATATTGCATTGCATATTTTTATCTCTAAATACGTTTTAAAAAAAATAGAATGTGCCACAAGATACAGCATGAAAAACTTATTTTTTATTTCATCAATTAGTAAATCATAGTTTTTAACTTTATCCTATTACATATTATTGGTGATAGCATCCCACACGTAGTAATCCAAAATATTGAGATCAGAACTATTTGATGACCATCTAGGATTGTCTATAAAATGCATAAGACTTTCTTTACACCATGCCAATGATTCCTGACGTGTATGTGCCGTAGCGTTTTCTTGTTGGCAGGTGAAATCGTTGTCTAGGAGTCATTCGTTTTCAAATTATGCTTGTAGAAGAAGGCTCTAGGACAGTTGCTCGTCAGATCACTTGCTCACATGAGTGTGGATGAAGAGAAGAATCATGCCAGCATCCACACTTACACCCATGAGCAACTCTCTTGCTTTCGTGGAAGAATAACTTCAATATAATTTTCATTTGATAATATTTTATCAGATTTAAATAATAATGGGAGATGTCAGACCATTTTTAGATGCATCTAAACATTTCATAATTCTTTTTGGTTTATATTTTCTTGTTTGTCTACTTCTTGTCAATTTGCAGCATAAAAACGTTCTAATGAGAAATATTTTTCGTCAATAAATAGGATTCTCTTCAACCGATGATGTAAAAAAAGGGAATTAATCGTTTACCAAAAAAAATTTTTTTTTTTCTAAAATGTATTTAGAGATTAAAATATGAAATGCAAAATACAGCCATTTATTATGGATCACTCTTTATTTCGTGAGATGATTGTTGCACATTTTACTATATTGATTTCCAACCTTTTAAATATAAAAAAGAAGTCTTGATATTTCTATGCTATTTACTAGTAAAAAGTAATTGTTCTTCTTAAGAAGAAAATATGATTTTCTTTATGAATCGGATAAGTTCGATCCAATTTGATACACAAACAGTATCAACTTATTTTCTTCTTTCTATTGTTGAAAGCTACAAAACGCCAAGATTATAGTAGTAAGATTAGTAATAAGTTTGGTTTCAAAAAAAAACAAGAATTATCTTATCTATGAATTTTTTCTCTATAAAAATAGAAATTTATGTTTTATTTTTCTTTTTCTAATAAAAACTTTCTCTTATATTTTCTTTCTAGTTCTATTACATGGCATCGTAATGATGTGATTATTGCCATATGTATATTTGCTATAATGATTTGTTCAGGTTTTATAATAGGTCTTATGTATGGTATGTTAGCTGCATCACTCACCAATTGAATACAACATCGTTTAATGTTTATAAAATTTAAATATGATTTATATTTTCTTTTTCTACAATTTAATAAATAAATAATTGTTGATGTGAATTATTCATATTTTACAATTAATATTTAGAAAAAATATTGATTTACTATGCTGTTGTAACTCTAGCACGATCGCCTAACATCCATGCAGATCATAATCAGTTTCATCATACTATTATAAGTGCACAATACCATATGAAACTGCTCATCTTCTAAACATGTTCTACTTAAGATAAGTAGAGTATGCTAATAATATCTATCAGTTACACCGAACTATTATTTATGTGAATAGAACATCCTGAAGTGCATCTGAACGTTTGTTGATTACATAGGATTTGCTCAAACCTCAGTGAGATACATTGTTATATTATAGTTCATAACCTTTAATCGAATCATGCCCTTTTAAAGTATATATTAGGAACACTTATTGCAGCATATTAATCATATCAGTTAATCATACACAATTATTGTTTTTATCTAAAGTAGTTCACAGTATATGTGAGTGCTAAATAGTGATGCATGATTTCAAACACTTCAAAGATAGTGAATGATAAGGTCATGAAAAAAGTACTAGATAAATCTAGTGCAAAGTAATTCCTTCGCTATTTGTTCTTCTTGTAATTAAGGCTTAACATGTTCATAATATAAACTAGTAACAATTTCGTGTGTCATATTTATTTTATTAATGTAGGTCCGCAGGGATTCCAGGTGGATAACAAGTGGCAGTGTTATTATTAAATCAGTTCTTGTCTCGATTTATCAATGGGCGATAGTAAATTACAAAGAATAATTTTTCAAATAGATTTTTAAATCTAATTAGATGAACATTAATATTATCTATATTGATAAATATTTTTTGTAAGATCATGATTATATTTAAGTAATAATGATACAAGATTTTTTTTTTGCTGTTGAATATAATATGTTTGAGTATTATTTGAATTAGTTAATTAAAATGAAGAAAGAATTATATGAAACATAATTTAACATTGACATTAGTATAGAAGATTTTGTTCATTACATACTTATTTTTTCGTTTATAATTTTTTATTTTTTATATAATCAATATAATGATTAATAAGAATACAGAAAAACTTGTTTGATATACATTCATTAATAGAAATAGAATTAAAATAAAGCAGAATCGTTATTTCAGATTAATAATTCTTTGTTTTTAAAGATTATTAATATATCATTAAAAAATATCTTACAAGAAAACACCTCAACCATTTCCGAGTTTTCTGCTTTAATTAGCTTCCATTGATACTTAGAAAACTCTAAAAGCATCCGTGCTCATGACTCTTTATTTCTGAGATATATTTAAAATCATGTCGAAGAAAAAAAAATATTTTTCTTTCATTTTTGAAATGTATGGTATTTTTTGTCATCAAAATAAGTCTAAATCAACATTTCTATAGTCAGCTCGAATAATAATTTATTTACTGCAGTAATCATAAATTCATGGTTTTGCTAACATTCACAATATTAAAATGATAATTGTGTAAGACTTAGTGATTTTTTGATATTCCGAGAAAGAAAGACAAATAGAAAAGAACAACCGTCGATACTTTTTGATCACATATATATATATATCATGTTCGTGTAAGAGAAAAATACTTGACACGTATAATAATTATATGGGCAAAGTATTTCTCTCTGACATGAATATAATGCAAATATGATCAAAAAGTATCGGCGGTTTGTTTTTTTTTTTCTTTTCTATTTTTCTTTCTTTCTCTGGAATATCGTAAGTCACTAGGTCTTATGCAATTATAATAATTTGATATTCTGAATGTTAGTAGACCATGAATTTATGATTACTATAGCAAATAAACTATTATTCGAACTGACAATAAAACACTAACTTTGATGGCAAAACAAATATATACATTTCAAAAATGAGAAAAAAAAAACGCAGGTGTTTTTTCTACGACACTATTTAAAAAGCATATGTCGGAAATGAAGAATCGCAAGCACGAATGTTTCTAGAGTTTTCTTAGTGTTACTGAGATCTAATTAAAGCTAAAAGTTCGAAGTTATCTCGTTAGATGAACAATCACATAATTAATTCAAAAGTTAAGAGACAAAATATATCAGTTCTTTAAACTATTCATAATATTTTCTTTTTCATGTCTATGAATTTATATTCTCAAGTAAAATGAAGATATAAATAATGAAAAAAAATAATTTGATTATAATCCATAAAGTTAGATGAATAGTTTATTATGTTTATTGTCTAAAATAGACTTTCGAATAAGAAAAATATTTTCATCTAAAAAATTCATATTTGTTTTTTTTTCCTTAAGCTTAATTAACTTATAATCATAGATCTATAGTCAAAATTTTGAATTTTAGTTTAATAATAGTGTATTGAATAATAATAACAATACTAATGATCAATTTTATATGCACGAATAGATTTTTTTTCTTTTCTGGTACATACAACAAACTCAAAATTATAAGATGAAAAAAAAAATGAATTTTTAATTAACTTCCTTGTCTTATAGAGTCTGTTTCTGATTTCCTTATTTCAAGAAGTGTCATCTTGCATGAATTCATCATCATCAGAAAAACAAATTTTTTTTTTTGGTTTCTAAAGAAAATATATAATTATATATATATATATATTTATTTTTTTTTTTTTGTGTGTTTCTAATCAAAGTTTTTTTTTCATTTCGAACGACTTGAGTAACCTTAAATTGCATGTTCATATGGATTA